TATATTTTTTGCTGATCAAAAATCCATTAATTATTTAAATTTACGTCTAATGTATATAACACTTTTTCTTGCATTGTAATTTAATCAAATGACCCATTTCATATAATTATATTGAATTATTTCTTGATAGTAAAAACATAATGAAGGGGAGTAATCAAATGTTGAACCCGCTTTTGATTGGTTCGTTTGGATCTTGAATCTCGAAACTCGAATTTTGAATCTCGAATTTCGAATTTTGAATCTCGAATTTCGAATCTCGAATGAGCCTTCTGGGCTTTCGTAGAATTCTTACATTTGTAAATGATTCATGTCAACATTAAAAAGAAATGCACATTTCAAATAAATGAAAGGAAAAGGAATTGCATTCAACATTTTCATGTTAAACATGAGTAAATTAATTGTAATTTGTTGAAAATAAGAATCTGAATACTGAATATTTTTTTTATATATTCCCATGAAAAAAAAGCTCTTATATTTTCACAATAAATAGTTAAAGTGATCTACCCTTATATCATAATTCAAATATATTTATGATTTTGTATTAAAACTACGATCAATATGAATTCAAACATTTAAAGTAGCAATTTCACTTAACAGTAGCTTCTGTTCATTTGGAAATATTTTATTTGTAGTGTAAATAACATTGATATCTGTTCATAGATACTTTGATGTCTTCGATTATTTTTCTCGGGAGGCGGGGGTGCCAAATACCATCTAGATCAGGTTCACAAAATCCATCAACATATTATTTGGGTCTCTTATTATAAAAGCAGAAGGGTGTCGGGAACCTGACTACGTACTGTATGTACTAGGCAATGCGTTGGGGTAACTGGGCACTTGAGATATGTGGGCACATTTAAAAATATTGCTTAATTTAAGAATTAAAGCAAACAAGAGTTATATTTGGATGAACTCCACACCTATACGAAAAATATATATATAAATAAAATCTTTAATTTTTGCCACGCATCATCAATATTTTTAAAACTTCTTGCATCAATGGGTTTGATTAAAAGTTTCGAAAATATTTTGAGTCTTCATTAGACTTTTTCCACCCTCACAGTTTTAATGGTTCAAAGTACAAAAATTGCATGTATTTCTATTAAAAATACTTAGAATTTACCAATTATTGCGAAAAAATTATAGGTCACCGTATTATTTAAGATAGGAGACATACATAAACAGAAGTATATATGTATCAACATTTTTTTTTAATCTTACATTTTTTTGTAAATATTGTATAATAATAATTATGTAAAAACTGGTTCAAATGCATAATTCTGATGCTGAAGGTTCCAAAATATTTGCTACTTATAAGATACTTTTGAATTGTAAATATCAGGGAAACTATTTGAAATTAGATGTACAATATATAGAGAAAATACCTGAATGGAGATACCCAGGAAGGAGTTATTTCCTTTATCAACAATTTATAAAGATTGATTAATTGACTAAATAAAGAAAATAAAAAAAAATTTGAATTCTTTTATTTCACAATATTTATCACAACACCTATTGAAAAGCATTCTTAAAAAATATTGTTTTTTTTATGAATTTAAATTAAAACAGTTTTTGCAAAAACCTATGATATCATATGAGGGTGGAATTTAAATACCTTAAGGCTTTGTGCAGAAACAAAGAATGTTTAAAGAACATATACGTCGCAATGACAGGCTTTGTTGCGTTTGATGGTAAAAATGTAGTAACTATTGAGAGTCAACGTCTAGTGTTTACTATATTATCCTAAGTTCTATAAGAGTTTTTTGTGATCAAATTCCCTTAGTCAAAAGAAGTAAACACTTATAAACAAACATAAAGTCATGTTCAATGCAAGCTCTTGTGATAAATTCATCTTCTGCAAAACACTTCGCTAGATCGTGACATTAAATTAACTTTCCTTGTTTATCTTTGCAGAATATAGTCTTGAGGGTTTTGTAAACAGTCTCACAACCAAGGAGCAGAAAAAGATCAAATCATACACCTTAATGAACCCTACCATTAGATATTTTACATGTAGAGACAAGATTACATCTCACGTGATTGAAAAAAAAAATTCTGTGGCAATTTTAAGAGTCATATAGTACGTGCTCTCAACAAAGTTAATTGTTGTTTCAAATAACTGCATTAAAATTATAAAATTTAAAAACCATTAATATTGTGTTTTAAAGATAATGATTTCATATACACTATATATATTATTCAAGTATAGACACATCTTTTCCCTTTTGAATATCAAACGCTATTGGTAAATGAATGGACTTTTGCGAAGACACTGACTTTACAGGTGACGGCTTACTTGGACATTTAAACCAGCGTCATGTACGGAGATTCGGAATTGAAAATAGAAAATAGAAAACATCCACTAAGATGAAAGTTATTGTATTCAGGACTTCCGATATAATTTATAAAAAAAAAAAAAACAACAAATAATTGGTGGTAAAATTAAATTTATTTAAATACTTTATTCACGAGAATTAATATATCCTTTTATGTTAAATAACTTAAGAAATGAAGTGAAGAAGAAGACATGTTTCGGTAGGAAATCTCGACAGGAGTTACATGTAGTCAAGACTTGAAGGGAGGGTGTTGAAGGTAGGAATGTTGCCGTCTCATTCCCAGACAACGTAATAAAATCTTTAAAATAGCCCGATATTATCGTTTTTTTAAATTTTGTTAAGATCAATATTTTTTCACAAATGAGCTCCAGTTTATTTTTCTGCAGCTGGTGTAAAAGTAAGCCGTCAACTGTAAACGTCAGTGTCTTCGCAAAAGTCCAGTAGTATACGAAAACTTTGCATCAAATACGATTTTGTTCAGAACTGTATAATGGAAGAATAAATCATGGAATCGGTTACCAAATTAGAAAAATATTTTATCTATAGCTTCCACCACATAAATTTACTTTTTTGATGGAGTGCGTTGTTTACATGATAAAAAATGCCTCGGGGCAAGGTAGCCCCTTTCTCTTAATTTTTGCTGCTGGGCTGCTCCTGCAGGTACATGAACATTTAATTTTTTAGTTTACACACTGTATGCTTATATACGATTTATTTGAATTGCAGATTTTTATTCCAAACTCGTCTCTCAGTATGTATTATATAATTAAAATTGGAGTGAAGAATAACAAATCATTTTTTCGATCTGAATGTATTCTTTTACAGATAATCATCTGAATTTGCATATAGTGAATATTTTTTCATCTATTTTTATGCCCCCGTAAACGAAGTTTCGGGGGCATATAGTTTTTGTCGTTTCTGTCTGTCTGTCTGTCGCTCTGTTTGTCCGCAAAAACTTTAACCTTGCCCATAACTTTTGGTTTGCTGGAGCTATGATTTTCATATTTTCATATGTTTATTCCTTGTGACAAGACCTTTCTTTGGGTACCACCAAATTTGACCTTTTGACCTTGACCTTGGAATTTGACCAACTTTTACATGAAAATTTTAAATTTTACTTTGGCCATATCTTTTGAACAGAAGATACCAGGACATTTATACTTCACATATGTAATGTTTGTAGAAAGACCTTTCATTGGATACCAACAACATTGACCCTTTGACATTGACCTTGTAGATTTCCGTACTTGTGAAAAAACTTTAACCTTGGCCATAACTTTTGAACGGTAAAAGATATGGCTTTCGTACTCCATATATGTAATCCTTGTGAAAAGACCTTCATTGAATATCAAGAACTTGACCCTATGACCTTGACCTATGAGATTGATCTACTTTAGAAAAGCAAACCTTGATCGTAACTTGTATGGAGTTAGGGCTAGCGCTTTCATTCTTTACATATTTGATTCTTGTTACAAGACCTTCCATTTGATTACAAGAACTTTGACCCTTTGACCTTGAAGTTTGACCTACTTTTTAAAAAAACGAACGTTGGCCTTAACTTCTGAATGGTTAGGACTAGGGCTTTCATGCTCAACATAAGTATTCTATGTGGCAAGACCTTTCATTTGATACTAATTACATTGACCTTTGGACCTTGACCATGGCTATTTTTGTACTTATTAAAAAAATATTAACATTGGCTTACTTTCAAATTTCACAATGTTTTCCAGTGAGAATACCCTACTTTTGGTACCATTTAATTAAATTTGAATTTAAGAATAGCTTAATCTTTGCTATGTTGCCATACGGGAGCATCAGTGTTTCACAAACACAATTTGTTCTTGATATTTCTGATGATATTTCTGAGTAGTTCGGAACTAGAACTTCTTAGTGTGAAAACACTGACCTACGTTTTCCAGATTAGTGACTAGGTTATGCCCGACAAACTATAAGCCCTACCCGGACCAAACTTGCATGGGTAACTCATCTAAGGATGGACAATCGAAACTTGATGCTGGATCTGACCTACATTTTCCAAACGAGTGTCCAGGTTAAAGTTTTGGGAACAAGTCATTCCCCAATGAACTTTAAGACATATCTAAACAGAACTTGCTTTAATATTGTTGTCAGAATAAATACTAACTGTTAAGAAAATATGATGTGAGATTTGCATTACTTGAACTGACAACATTCGTTGAGGTGAGCTTCGTAATCCTTGATTACCAATGTTTTTTTTCATCTTACATTTGAAGGAAATGGTTTCTGTCTAAATCAACTAAAAATTTCAAAGAGGACTTAAGGCCACTTTTGCTAATGTGTAGACCAAGAGGGAAATATGTGAATGATAATCTTGGAAAGCGGGAAGAAAACAATTACAAGTAATTCTTTTTTATGTGGTGTTTTTTTTTTAAATTTAGTTATCAGCAATTTTAGATATTATATCTGTTTCTCGCGGGTTTTGGATTGTTTTGTAAATATTTACTTTATTCCTTACAAATCTACAGATTTCTTCCTAAGCTAAATTATCAAGTACAAACTTGAAATTTAAGATTGAGACGCAAGATAAGTTATCGTCAGATTTGTAAACAAAAAACTCTACATTTATTACGTCAAAATGATAAGATTTATGCTTAAAAGAAAAATGCCTTCCTGTCCATAAATAGCACAATTGTTTCCTTGCAGTCATCGCATCTATACTAGCAAAATAGAATGTTCATCTTCTTCTTTGTGTTTGTGGCACTTGCGCCAATAATTTCGGTTAACAGCTTCCTACTGAACACAAACAGACCACTCTTGTCGAATTTTTCCGGTCCATCTTCCAGTTACGATGCCATTACAATTGCTTACATGCTTCAAAAGATGGATCTTTTGCAGCTGCATATTCAACAACAAAACAAAACGTTGGAGACGCAAGCTAACTTAATTCAAAGTCTTTTGAATTTAACACAACAGTCTCCATCAACACAAAGTCTTCGTAGTGAAATTTCTATTCTTCAGGTCTATGTCCAGCGAATCATGGATGAATATCATAGACTCACCAATATTTCCAACGCAACCGATCTGGCAATCAAAATTAACAACATGGCAAACTCCGTCCACTCCCTTTCCACATCGTTGGTTGTGCAAGAAAATAAGATAAATAGCGCTGAAGCTGAATTCAGGCGACAAATAAGCATTTTGAATGGGACAATTTCGAACACTCTTTTGCATACGACCAGCCAAGTTACTACCAACAAAAATTCAATCTCTGCAATCCAACAGTCTTTGAACACACTCTCGTCTAAAGAGCACAGCAATGAGAATCGACTTGCAACTTTGTCAAGTGACCTACATACTACGCAGAACAGTTTAAGTTCTCTTCAGAGCACAGTGTCTCAAAATCAACAACATACATCACACCAACTATCAGTACTATCGACACAATATTCTTCAGTATCTGGAAGGGTTTCTGATACACTCTCACGGCTTAATACTAATATTACAAGTATGGATTCCCGTGTACACAATTTGGAAGTGGAAGTTATTACTGGTAAGTTCTACAATTCTAAAAAAAAAAAAACGTTAACATAGGATATTGTTAATTTTTTTTTCAAAAATGGCATCACATCAGATCTATGGAACGCTAAATTAACATTTATTCAAATATTTGTACCTATCTTCAAGCAATTGTACCTATCTACTGTAAATGAATTGTATCTTTCTTTAAATCAACTGTACCTATCTTCAAATGAACTAGAGATAAGTAAAATTCAATTATACCTATTTTTAATTCATTTGAAGATAGATTCAATTGATTTGAAGATAGGTTCCATGCGCGGATCTAGAGGGGGGGGGGGGGTCGGGGGCCAGGACTGGAATCTGAAAGGTACTAAAGGAAGAAAAAAGTTACCTTGGACCCTCCTCGGAAAACACAGACCCTCCCCCCTCGTAAACGCGAATATGTTTTAAATTGCTATGATATGTCAAAGGTCTGAAGAATTAGAAGTCATTGACACCCCCTTCCCCCTTAAAGGTCATTGACACCCCCCCCCCCCAAGGAATAGGTTTTTAAAATTTGGGCGATTTATTTATTTATTTAATTTTTTGCAAGTCTGGAATTTTCTGGGTTAGATTATTTTTTGGACTGGGGTGGATTTGCGCCTGGGTTTAAATGCAATGAATTGAGGATAGGTATAATTGATTTAAAGATAGGTACAAATAAATTGAACCTCTTTAATTTCAAAGATATTGGCAATAATAACTACTCCATTTATATTTCCAGCAGAAAAGACTGTTGCAAAGTTTTGTTTAGAGTGTGGTCCTAATAAATGTCATGGACAAGTTTGGCTGATTGAAATCTTTGTTTTCACGCCGAAAAAATAAAGCCAATTTGTCATTGATATCTTCCGCTCACTTATTAATATAAATGTGTATTTTAATAGGTATATGATGCTTTTGCACTTTTGGAATTTACTTTTATTTCTCATTTCATCCTCGTTGTCGTCGCTCCGTAGGTTCTGTGCGTTTCCCTCCATGCCCAAGGGAGCATTCATTATTTTCAACAACACGAAACGAATTTAACCTAGGTACAATTGAATTGAACCTATCTTCAAATCCTTTGTGGATATGTTTTAATTGAACATATCTTCAAATCAATTGTACCTATCTTGAAATGAATAAGAGATGAGTATAATTCTATTGAACTTATCTTTTGAATTGAAGATATGTGTAATTCCATTAAAGATGGGTATAATTCATTTGTACTTAGGTATAATTATTTAGAGATAGGTATAATTATTTACATATATCTTCAGTTCAATGATACCTATCTTTAATTCAATTGTACTTATTTTCAATTATTTCAAGATGGATCCAATTATTTGAAGATAGGTACAAATATTTGAATATACATGTTAATTTGGCGTTCCATACATAACAGATATACAGATATTTTAAAAAACTTTTAAAAATATTTTCTCACTATTGAATTGTTTGGATTTATTATTGAACGCGGGAGAGATACAGAATTTTGATTAATTAAAAAAAAAATATATTTAATTTTTTATAACTTAGGTGTAAGACTTGTTGGTGGGAGATACACTGGAGAGGGGCGAGTAGAAGTCAAGTACCATAACGGCTGGGGAACTGTCTGTGATGATGGTTTTACTGACACTAACGCTCAAGTTGTTTGTCGCCAGCTGGGATTTGCATGGTAACTTCAATTTTTTTTAAAACACCTTTTCTTACATAATCCGTCGATATGCGCTATTTGGATGTCGTAAGCACTTTAAATTACATTTTTATTAAAATAACTGGTAAATTTTGTAGCATTTTGTTTGTGATACGTCTATAGTTACCAAACCAACACAGTTAAATGTTAATACACAGGTTAAAACCTCCATGGGATCCACGTATATAGTGGAAAAATTGGCTTTTTAATCTGTCGGTCAGGCAAAGGGCAAAAGGGCAAAGAAATATCAATTAGAATATTCAACAAAGTCCATAAAATGCAACCAGAATCAAAGAAAAGTTATATGACAGAATACTTACAAAAACACATTGGTCTTGTAACCAGAAGCGAGTGGTTGTTCCTTTTACGAGTTTTTACGTTATCAACGATACTTCAAGAATAAAAGTATAATTGTCTTTTCATAGTATATTGTAATTCATTTATTCTTTCTGACGTACCAAACACGTTAAATATCAAACGAATATTGATCTGTGCGAGTACATATTTTACACCAATAAAACATATAAAAAGTAATTTACGTTATGTAATTTACGGTATAAGTAAAAAAAAAAACATATATGGTACTGATGTCCACGGGCACTGGAAGTTAATGTAAATATATATAGTATGGCCTGCCTGTCTGATATCCGATAATTAAAGGCTAGTTTTAGCTTAAATTTTAGATTTTTAGTAGTAATACTTTGTGAATATGTCATAGAAATATATTTTAACCAAAAAAGTCAAAGAATCCTTGGAGTACGAAACACGGAAAAGGGGGGGGGGGTCCCGACCCAAGCACCTGTGGTCAGTAGCTGTGCATTTCCAACAAAAAATCAATGAAATTACGTTGCATTTTTCAGTTAAAAACTGGAAGAAAGTGCTCGTATTTATAAAAATCCATACCCTCTGATACTAACTTCTGTTTTAGTATCAGAGGGTATGGATTTTTATAAAAGGCTAGTTTTAACTTACTATCAATATATGTACGGTAAAGACAGGCAATACCATCGAGCTGCCATCTAATGACGGTATAAAAATATTTGATTTTTTCGTAATATATCGTATTATTGACCAGTCAAAACTTACCTTTTTATTTAGTGCGGATAGAGCGGAAGAACGGCAGCATAGCAAAAGTTCTCAGCCACTTGGAGGTATAAAAACATATTCATATTTAAGGAAGAAAAAAATTTGTTTGATCCACCCATTCATTTCTTCGAAGAAAAAAAATGTGTTTATTAATCAACAGATAAAATGGGCATAAGTAAAAAGACTAGAATTTCTGACATCGTACTCAAACCATCGGTGAAATTCCATAAAAATAATTTTTATGATATTTTCACTGCAGTTGTGCTTCAAAGGTATTTTTCCAAGTGTAGCAACCGAAAATAATGTTGTACCGCGCGGAATCTGCACGGTAAGCAGATTGGGAAAAAATAGGTCGAAAATACAATACGGTCGAAAACAGGATACGAGACGATCGATATTACGAGTTACATGTACCTTTAAAAGCTTTCAAATATTAATTGTTTTTACAAACAAGGTGTATTTCTTTTTATTTGTTGCAATATTTCACGCATAAATCTTTCTGCATTGGTGACTTAATGAAGTAAAACTTTCATAACGTAAATTACAGTGAAAATAACGTAAATTAAATATACCTTAATTGCCTTTCTCTGTAATTATATTTAATAAATTTCGCTTCAAAAACAGAGATTGTTAAGTCAAAAGAAGAAATTAAAAAACATATAGGGAGTAAAAGAAGATTCAATAGGGAGATATTAGAAAAAGAAAGGAAAAAATACATTCTGACAGCAGATCTTACGTTATCATTATATCTAACTGTGAATCTCCTAAAAGGATGAAAAATAGTCAGTATTTGTGGCATTTATGGGTGTTTGAAAATACTGTAGGTCATTTAGATAGGTGAAAAAAAGTTCAAGAAAATATTAATTTTTCAATTGAATAGCAATAATCTACGTTTTCAATATATTTCTTTTAGAAAAAAATTATTTAGAGAGAGAGAGAGGAGAGGGAGGGAGAGAGTTTAAATAAAAAAGTTGGTTCCTTCTGTTCCACCGGGCATCAAATTTTTCTTGTCCATTATTTCTATTAGAGATAAATTTATGTGTTTCGGTATTTAAAACTTCATTTGTGATATTGCAGCACATAAATTCAAAGGTTTTCTTAGTGCATCTTGATGTGTAAACATGATATTAAGCCAAAGGATAATAGTATTTTAAATATCAGTATATATAATGTAACCTAAAATAAAAGATCTCTTCGTAATATTGATGACTAGACCAGTCTTATCTTCAAGGAAAAGTACAAATTCTTCTAGAAATAATTGTGTATATTCACATTCCCATAAAGGGTGTTCTATTGTTTCTTCTTCCGAGTGGCAAAAACTGCAGTATTTAGAGTCATTTTTGTTAATTTTGAATAAAAATAAATTTGTTGCTAAAATTCTGTTTATAATCTGATATTTAAACCACTGGAGTTTACTGGGGGTTTTTTTGTTCTTTTTTGTCACTCTGAAGAGTATTTTTGTGAATTTTTTCCCATTCGTTATTGTCAACCTGGAAAATCTCACTCCACTTTGTTTTACCTGTTGACACAGGAGAGTTTTGATTAAGAATTTCATAAAAAAAAACATTTGGATTTGTGACATTTCATCACCTTGTAAATATTTCTCATAACTAATGTGTTTTCTAGCTTTTTAATAGGTATGGCAAGGCCAGAATCTATTATCCAAGACTTAATAGCATAAATAATACTAATATATTCTTTAAAAAAAACTGATCTTAATTATGGTTTAATTTTTACAAAAAGATTCAAAACTTAGAAAAGAACCATTTTCATTTATGATATCATTAAGGTTATAAAACATATATTTATTCCTTATATCATATATAAACCTTGTATTTTCACCTATATATCTATTAGAGATAAAACCTGTTTAATCTTTGTTAATAATTTTGTCAAAGTATCTTTTTATTCTATTTGCAATAGTGCCCGATGCAATTTTATAGATAGTATTTAACAAAGTTATTGGTCTCCAGTTCTTTAAGTATTGTCTTGGCTTATCACCTTTTGGTAAAAGTGTAATAACATGCACCATGTCTTGGTGTAATAGAGAGACTTCCACTCTTATAACTGTAATTTATAGATCTAACTTCAAAGGGACCAATATACTTCCAGAATATCTTAAAAATTCAGGAGAAAAACCATCAGACCCTTGTTACAACGCACTTTGAAAAATTACGCACTTTGAAAAAAAATTTCAAAGTGCGTTTAATTTGGGACCAAGCTAACGCACTTTGAAAAAATTAAATTTCTGTTCAAAGTGCGTTAATATCGACCATATTAACGCACTTTGAAAAAAAAACGTAAAGCTTGATCAATGTATTTACAAGTAATCGGTATAATAAATAATTGACCCTGGTTGGATAATTTTTTGGTGTTTTAGGTTTTGATAAATATTGTATAAAAGGAAATAGAGAGAGAGATGATTGTTTAAAATCATTATTTCGTTTCTTTTTAACATTTCTAGTCTGTAATTATAGTAGATGTAAGGGAGGGGGGGGGGGCTAAAAGTGAACTACTTACGGAATAGCATTTATCTTAAGAAAAAGGGGCAATTATTTGATTTTCAAAGACTATGGAATTTCTTTCTCTCTCATACGTTTTACTGTACTTATAAAATTCTAGTTTTCAACTGTTTTAAGTTAATTCAATTATTGATAGTTTTCAACATCATACCGGTAATGTAAATAATACATATCCATTGTTTGGGTATAGCATACGCATCATAAACGGACGAAGGGCAAGGGGAGGGGGGCTTAGCCTTCCCCCTCCCACTAATTTTGGAAACATATGCATCATATAGGCATGGAAAATGCGGCTTACCCTTTTGTGGGTTTATTACTCCCCGTTTTATTTGCTACCGACGCCTTTGTTTTGAAAGAGAAAGAGTAAATCTGAGAGATCTTCTACCCGTATTCTCCTCTTCTCGACGGGAGTAAATCAATTAATAAGTTTACTGAAAGATAAATTTCACTGAAATAAAATCTTTCCATTACTAAAATCTAAAATCACAATTTTTGTTTTTACTTAATTTTTTCAAAGTGCGTTAAGTGTATCCATGGTAATATATATTGATGTAAACTCTTAACACACTTTGAAAAAAAATTTCAAAGAGCGTTGAGTATGTCCAAAATTTAACGCACTTTGAAAAAAATTTTCAAAGTGCGTCGATTTTGTCCCAATTTTAGCGCACTTTGAAAAAAAATTTCAAAGTGCGTAATTTTTTCAAAGTGCGTTGCCACAGACCCTGGAGATTTATTAGGTTTCATTTTGTTTCATTTTATAGAGTAGATTCTGTCTCCTTCTTGGAAAGCTTTGGTATTTCTTTCTTATTTAACTCATTGAATAGATCAGTATTTGGGTTTACCATACTGGTTTTATATAGTTGTTCATGAAATAATTTTGCTTCCTTTAAGATTCTGATTGGTCATAAATAGCATTAACATTATTATCCTCCAATCTAGGTATAATCTTACTAGTAAAGATTCTAGATTCTAATGCGCAAAAATAGTGTGATGGTCTTTCGCCTTCTTCAACCAATTTTGCTCTACTCCTCATATAAGTACCTTTCAATTTATGTTTTCTAATGTTCTCCAATTTTTGCTTTTACTATATAATTCATCAATATTTAAAACTTTCACAAACATTTTCTTCTTATAATTTGATACTTTCTATTAAATCTTTCTCTTTGTTTTCTCTTTTCTTTTTTGGTATATGATGCATATGAAATAGTTTTACCTCTTAGCTCTAAAAGCAGAGTTTCTGAAAATAGCTGATCATTAACAGTGAATTAAAAATTGGTATCTGGAATATTATCTATGTTGTCAAAGTTATACGCTGGGATTGCATACTGTTTCTTAACCCCTAAAATTACATTTTTAATACAATCTAAATAATTTTCATCATTAATTAAAGAGTTATCAAATTTCCATAACCCCCTACCTTTCTTAAATTCATTAAAAGCTATAGACAAGGATATTATGGAGTGGTCTGATCTATTTATTAAGATTTATAAAGGAGCAATTACATTGTTTGGGCCTTGGGTATATGTGGAACGACCAAAGGAGTCTCAATAGTCATATTTGTCAGCCAATCATTCGTCAAAGACTTAAGGATCACTTTATACAAACCTTATATAGCAAAATGCAAACAGAATCAAAATGTTATATTTATAAGCATTTAGTTGACAATTTTTGCTTGCAATATTATTTAGAAAAATAGAAACCAACGGTGTACAAAAAATGTATTTCTAAAATGAGGTTGTCCTTGCATAATCTGTTTATTGAAACAGGTAGACATAAGAATTTAACAAGAGACAAAAGATTCTTTAAAATATGTACTAAAAAAATTGAAGATGAATATCATTTTTTACTTGTATGCCTAATTTATTAAACATAGCGATCAAAGTTTTTGAAAAAATATTATTGGTATAGGCCATCTGTGTACAAATTAATACAGTTGCTAAGTGAATAATGTTACAGAATTATGTAATTTAGGGAAGTATATCTATAAAGCCCTCGCGCTTAGAAATGATTTAATCATGTAATATTAATCATTTGCTGAATTGTGACTATATAACTGCTATATTACATGTACGTTGCATTAATCTCATGTCATTCTCCATATCAACTGTAAAGACTGTTATATTACGAGTTTGTATGTTTATATGTGCATGTTCCATAAGGATTTACAATGACTGACCGTCCATTTCCTATTATTTCCTTTATTTATATATTATATTAATGCTATAAGACGTATGTCTTTTGCAATAAACAAATTGAAATTGATCTATAACTAGTATCTATAAAGCATTTTTCCAAACTTGGCGTATCATTATTTGGACCATAAATGTTGCATATCAATACTTCTTGACCCTCTACACATGCTTTAAGTAAAATAAAATTTCCATCAAGGTCGCCCTTTTCTGCAAGAGGTTTTAAATCAAAATTGTTGTTCACTAGAATTGCCACTCCCCTAGAGTTTGTAGAGTATGAGCTGAAAAAGCACTGGTATCCCCAAACATTTCTAACTTCGTTTTCAATATCACATGAAAAATGTGTATCTTGCAAACAATAAATGTTATAATTTAAGGCTCTTTAAAAGTAATTAAAACATCCTTGCGCTTTGCAATATCACCTAAACATTGACAGTTTACTGAAATAATATTAACCATTTGACGAAAGGCCAGAAGGCTCATTCGAGATTCATGTTTCTAAAAACTAGATTCAAAATTCGAGGTTCGAAATTCGAGATTCGAAATTCAAGACCCAAACTAGCCAATCAAAAGCGTGTTTAACTTTTGATTATTTCCTTTTGTTACGTTTTACTATCAAGAAATCGTTGAATATATTTATAACAAATGGATCATTTGCTAAAATGATAATGCAGGAAAAAATGTTTTATGTATTAAAACGAAATTAAAAAAAATTTGGATTACATTTTGAAAAATACTTATATTGTCTTATTTTTCTAATTTAACAAAATAGTAAATACGTATATATGGAATATTAAATGGTCTTATCGTTGACTTACAGAACAAGTAGGTCAACTAATTTTATATCATCGGATCATTGCTGACGTAGAATGTTGCATGTAATTTTAATTAGATATGAAATGTTATGAATCGTATCTACATTGCACAATAATTTAAGGTTATATATTTCATTACATTTATAAAGGGTACATTTGTGCAGTGAAACTTGACTCCTGAATCGAACTGTAGCGTTATATATGGTTTGTTACAACGCACTTTGAAAAATTACGCACTTTGAAAATTTTTTTCAAAATGCGTTAAATTTTGGGACCAAGTCAACGCACTTTGAAAAAATAAAATTTCTTTTCGAAGTGCGTTAATATGGACCATATTAACGCACTTTGAAAAACTGTGTATGGATTTGTCAATATTCCTGCAAATCTTAGGTATGATAAATAATTGAACCTGTTTGATAATTCTTCTGTGAAGAGGTCACTTCAGGATGTGAAAGTTAGCGATTTTGATTTTTCCATACTTTGAAAATTCTTTCTCGCTAAAATGCTTTACTGTACTAAATTTTTTTCAAGTTTGCATGCATTTTATGTAAACTCAAATTTATTGAAAGTTTTCAACGTCATACCAGTTATGTAAACACATATATTTGGGTGTAGCATAGGCATCAGTACCGGAAAGGGGGGTTACATGTAGGCATATAAATATTTTGCAAAGATATACATAATATAAACATGTATGCATTAAAACTTGGGGCTTACTTATGGGGTCAACTTTCAATTTGCTACCGACGGCTATGTACAATGTTTAAGAAAAAAAAGGGTTGGGATGAGAGACCTTCTACTCGTCTTCTCCTTGTTCTCAATGAGGTTAAATGAGTTCATGTAAATTTAGAAAAGTTTTTCGGAAGATGTAATTATTACAATTTGATTTCCTCTATTACTAAAATCTAAGTCCAGAATTTTTATTTTCATGCAGATCTTTTTTCAAAGTGCGTTAAATGCCTCCATGGTAAAAAATATTTATGTGCATTCTTAACGCACTTTGAAAAAATTTTTCAAAGTGCGTTGAGTGTGTCCAAAATTTAACGCACTTTGAAAAATTTTACGCACTTTGAAAAATTTTTCAAAGTGCGTAATTTTTTCAAAGTGCGTTGCCACAATGGTTTAATAAGAGTATATTTTAGTCTTTGGCCATAAAGCTATGGTCAGAGACTAAAATATAACACCATAACGCTATATAGTTCTGCATCTAATTTAGACTCATCTACTATTTGATATAAGATAAAATAAATGCCGCATTTATATATTTTAATTCATATCGCCAAGCTGTATTGTAGATATAGATTTTAATTAATTCAAGAAATCAAAGCCTTAAATGAAGATAAGTAATTAAATTCTTAATTTTTATGCATACCCTCTATCAGGAAAACGAACGCGATTTTTCTTTATCAAAACTACGTCGTCTTACAAGTGTCAAGCCTTTCAGTGTGTTTGTAGAAATGGGCAGGCGGGGTGGGTGGGGGTGGAGTTATTCTTAACCTTGAGACACTTGCCACGTATTCATAACTTCATTTATATGTAATCAACCCCGTAAACAAAGTAGACAATACAAAAATATATATATTCCTGATATATGTATTCTATTTAATATTTAAGAAGCCATAATATAAATTGCTGATCAAAAATCCAATGATTATTTCAATTTTCTTCTTTTATAAATAACACCCTATCTTGCATTTATATTTTATTAAATGACGTATTTGTTATTTATAAATTAAACGATTTCTTTATAGTAAAATCATAATAAAGGGGAGTAATCAAATCTTGAACCCGCTTTTGATTGGTTAATCTGTTCGAATCTTGAATCTCGAATAAGCCTTTTGGGAGCTTTTGATTGATTAATCTGGATCTTGAATCTCGAAACTTGAATTTTGAATCTCATATTTCGAACCTTGAATCTCGAATGAGCCTTCTGGGCTTTGGTACATTTGAATAACGTTTACAAGTTGATACCAACCGGACCCATGGACCCAAACACTCGGAACTATGTTCATAGTTTTATCCAAAGTAAAATTAAAATCCCCCACCTCTATTCAGGATTCAAAAACATAAAATTAAGTAAAACAGAAATTCAGTTTAAAAAAATTCTAGCGAAAAAGAACAGAATTAATTATTTAATAGTTGAAAAATAAGATTAAAGCAAACAACATTTGTTAATTACAAATTGAGAGAAAAAACATTGGCACACAAACAAAACTTTTGAAATAGATTTTTAATACAGACATAGTGCTAAAAAATAGATAAAACTGAATATTCATTTTAGCAATAAAATGATTTTTTAAGGGGGTCAAATCGACCTAAGAAAATAACGTAAATTACGAAGAAAAACACCCTACGAATACATATATTTATCGTGCATGGTGAGGTTCTGATACTTTGAAAAAATAATTCTCCGGTGTTTTGTTGACTTAAAAACATCAACATCTCCCAAAAATAATGACTTTATTTTTTATGGAAGCTAGACTGCATGTCGACGGATTATGTGAAAATAGGTGTAAAGCTATTTATAGCGAGTCTGAACCAGAAAACAAAAATGCGAAATAGTGAGTCGATATGATACCAGTAAACATGTATTTATATACTCAAGGTCGGGTGCCATCCAAAAGCAGAGTGCATCATTTGGACAAGGTATAGGAACAATCGTATTAGATGATGTCACATGTAGAGGACCAGAAAAGTCCATAGCAAGTTGTCAGCATCAAGGATTTACAAAGAACAACTGTAACCATGGTGAAGACGTCGGCGTTGTGTGCTGTGAGTGTGTTTAAAGTCATCGATGATTAACCTGTAAAAATGAGGACGCTTACTGGTGTTCTAAATTAGATCTCTAATTAAAAAAAAGACACTTATAATGAACGTCTTACGTAAAAAATGTTTAATTATGGGGTTTGGTTTAAAGGGGCGTAGGCACAGGTCTGAAGTTAATATTTCCCCAAATTGTATGTATTTAAGGAGGCTGAGGGTCATCAAATTAACCACAAATTAACCACCAGATTTAACTTATTTTTTTTTTAGATACGGTATCTTAAGCTGTCAACTATCATTTGGCAAAGAAAATTTTTACACATTTTAGTTTTAAAATTTGATCATTTTTGTATATCTCTATGTGGAGCTCTTCTTTAAAAGGAGATCGAAAAAGTCTTTAAATGGCTGCCCCCCCCCCAGCCTCTTTAAGGAAAAACTGTCTAATTTTTCGATTACATGATGTGATAAATCGATTGGCTTGCGTTATTATTTGCATTAACGCCTTTAAATTAATAAATTATCACGCAAGCCAATCGATTGATCATCGTCATGAAATCGAAAAATCGGACAGTTATTCCTTATATTTACATGCCTTTGATTCCACTGTCGTGATCCCGTGCCGGATTGGACAAAACAAGATGGCGGCGGGAACAAATCGAAAAAGGTAGGTACCTGAGATTTCGGTAAATATCCCCATTAACCGTCAGGTATGCTTGCTCCATAGATGTTGTCGAATTCCTAGTAAAATGCTTATTAGTGTGTTTAATAGCTACTTTTCCTATCGTCTCTTAAATTTGAAAATTTAACGACTGAAGACTGCCAATATTTCCGATTGAGTTTGAAGCGGCATGAAGTTGTTTTTTTTTCTTCGATTTTGACAGTTTTATACATCCAGCAGCAGGAGTGTGGCTAACAAATGATAATTTGGAGTAATTCTGACCTGGTGTTATATGTTTATTTGTTATAACCCATTTTCTTTCAATAATATTTCGATTTAAAAATATTGGCATGTGCTGGATTTGAAGCGGTTAATTTTAACGGAAAATGTGCCGGATTAGACAGCATTTTTGGTGCGGGATTGGATGTGTTTACGATAGTCATTTATTAAATAACCTTTTTTCTCTTTTAGATTTCAGCTATGGATGCATCGTTAAATGAAATACCAGGGGGAGGAATTCATTATATACCTTATCATACCGAAGGAAATAAGTTTTGTCCAATCCGGCATGGGATCACGACAGTCACGTTTGATTGACACATCCTGGCACTTTCAATACTTAAAAAATTTTGTTGTGCATTAATGAAGATATTAAAACTTTTATCCAGATAAATCAGTGTAGAAAAGTAAGAAAGCTATTAAATCCAACTCATTAATATGATCATTCTGTGATCAGTGATGTGTACAGAGTAAAACAAATGGAAACAAGAAGCGTTTGTGAAACACTGATGCCCCCGTATGGCAACATAGAAGATATAAAACTTTTCTAAAATGCAAATTTAATTTCTTGGCACCATAAGTAGGGAATTCTCACTGGAAAACAATTGTGAAATTTGAAAGTAGACCAATGTTAAAGTTTTTTCAATATAAACAAAAATCTCCAAGGTCAAAAGGTCAAGGTAATTGATTTCCAATGAAAGGTCTTGCCATAAAAAATAATTATGTAGAGTATGAAAGCCATAGCCCTAACCGTTCAGAAGTTATGGCCAATGGTTATTTTTTTAAGTAGGTCACACTCAAAGGTCAAGGTCAAAGGGTCAAAGTTCTTGTTATCAAATGAAAGGTCTTGTTACAAGAATTAAATATGTAAAGTATAAAAGGACTAGCCTTAACCCTTTAAAAGTTATGGTTAAGGTTTGCTTTTTTTTAAGTAGGACAAATGTCCTGGTTTCTACTTTTCAAAAGATATGGCCAAAACAAAAGTATAGAATTTTCATGTAAAAGTGAGTCAAACCCCAAGGTCAAAAGGTCAAATTTGGTGGTACCCAAAGAAAAGTTTTGTCACAAGGAATGCACATGTGAAATATGAAAGTTATGGCTCCACTAAATCAAAAGTTATGGGCAACACGACAAAAACTATATACCCCGAAACTTCGTTTACGGGGGCATAAAAATCAGTGTACAGATCAAATATAAAGAATCTCAAAAAGAACTTTTGTCACAATAAATACACTTTTGAAAATTTTATAAAAGCCATAGCCCACACAAAAAAGTTTGCGAACGACTAGACAAACAAACAGACAGCAACAAAGACAAAAGACGGACAGGGCAAAAACTATATATTCCGAATCTTCAATTGCAGAGACATAAAATTGTGAATGAAATGAAGACACCTTTAAAGCAACGCGATGCTATTTTATTTCTTCATAATGAATTAATGTTTACTCGAACTAAGCATTACTAACATTTGCTAAATATTTCCCTGGCTGTCCTTTTGATGCATGTGCTAATATACTTATACGTTCAACATCAGATTCTTCATCAGGATAATGAGTTTTTACACTGATCAAAAAGAATAACCTAAATTGTTATGCTTGACAGTCTCTGTCCGCCTGATTGGGGGGACCTCTTCTAGAGAAGGAACTGTGGTTGTGAGACTCGGGAATTCAGAAGGGAGTGTTTGCGACGACAATTGGGATAATGATGACGCTCGTGTTGTTTGCCGGATGCTTGGATTTCATGGGTAAATATAGCTGCTTTTAAGTATAATTTGTAAAAATATTTTGTCTAGGTGGCCGAAAATTATGAAAGTTGGTCACATCTGTATTTGGGTAATTCTGCACTAAAATCGCCGGTATTTAGGTGCATATTACATAGTCATTTATTTGTTAATTCTGCACTAAAATCGCCGGTATTTAGGTGCATATTACATAGTCATTTATTTGTTCAACCTTTCAAATTAAAATTACAAAAAGTCTAAAAATTGTTGAAAAAGGTGTAAAGAACGGCATATTACCATCCAAACATGATTAATTTTAAATAATAAAAATTTCCAAAAAAGTAAAATTTTGTTTTTATAGCATATTTTAAAGAAAAATATTGACTATTCATTTAAAGAAGGATATGGAAATAACGAACAGCATTCAATCTCAACGCCCATTAAACAATAACAAAATAAGAGCAGAGCAAACACGGACCTCCGAAACATCAGAGGTGGGATCAGGTGCCATGGAGGAGTGACCATCCTCTGCCGACCGGTCACACCTGCCATGTGCTCGTTGTCATGGTCAGGAAATAACGGAAAAAATCCGTCGTCAATTCAGTGTATAAATAATAGACTAACAAGTGGTATGAAAAACGTCAGTCAGCATTTGACTCAATGATAAATTGTATTTGCTGACAAGGTCATTGTATCGACCATAGAATTTACGAAATGATGACTTTAAACGAGACTGTTGCTATTCTTGTTTCATCAACTTGCTTGCCAATAATTTACCTCGTTTAAGAAATTGTTCATACGTAGAGCATGCTCTTGCGTATCGAATCAACTGAGATATATATACTCCGTATGCAGGTGATGAAAGTATATTGCTGCATAAGTAAGGGAAGTTGACGATAGAAAAGTTAGTCATCACGTTTATCATATAGCTTGGTTGTTAGATTACCATTAGAGTCTTTTTCAAGTAAAATATCCAAGTATGAAGAAGAAGCGTCGGACTCTGTGGTATCTTTTATCTCAAGCTTACCAGGATATATCGTGTCGACGTAGGAATGGAAATTATCATTATTAATTGACAATACGTCGTCAATATATCTAAATGTCGAGTTGAAGGCCACAGCAAGTGTTTTCTTCTTTTCACGCATAAGATTTTGCATAAATTCTGCTTCATAGGAATACAAAAATAAGTCTGCTCATAACGGAGCGCAATTTGTACCCATGGGAATTCCAATAGATTGTTGGAATACCTGGAATACCTTTTTAAAATCATTGTAAAAATTGCTTGTAAAAGTATCTTGATATTATCATTGGAATTACCAACTTAATATATATATAACGTGGCACTAATACGCTTCCGTATAATCATCTAACTACACAGCCATGGCAGATATTATGCTTACAGTAGGCCTAACTGTGACGTACTTAGCGTCGTTTTAAAGGGTGTAGTCTTGGAGGGAAAAAAAATCCACTTACATTTGTATCCCTCCGCCACCATGTGGTGGCGTCTCTCTCTTTCTCTCTCTATATATATGAGTGAAAAATTCTCAAGGAGACGTTAAATAATAACCAAACCAAAAAGCAGCATCTGTTTAGCGTTATGGCTTAATCCAATAAGCTCTGAAATTGTTTGGCTACTAAATTTGTTAGACCGTCTGTTTTTTATCTTTCTACAAGTCTCCTTCCCGTAGACATTTTGTATTATTTAGGGATGTCAACGAATATTCGAGTACTCGACTATCGTTCGATCATACAGACTATCGACTAAAGTTTCTTAAGTCGGTTATTCCTTAAAAATGTGTTTCATCAAAGTAATTGTGAATTCAAAGCAATAAACTTATATTTGCCCATTTCATTTATTTACAGATCAATATTTTCATAAGTAAAATATTTGTACGTCGATGTATGTTCTGCAAACATGAATGTCTTTAAAATCTACAGTTTTGACAGGGGTGATCAAAAAGTTCGCAAATTAATTGAATAACTTTCATACAAGAAACAATATTTGGTTTTAATGTTGATTATATTTTAAATTAATCCTCCTCGATTTTAATGCACATCAACCACCGTTCTGCGCATGCGCGAATCACGTGAAATCGGCGGTCACATGTTCCCCTCCGTAGCGTTCTGTCACAAAAGTTGAAAGATTTTTCCGAGTTTTATATTTCTTTCCATGTGAGTTAATTTTTATGACAAAAACAGTTCATTTGTCAGAAATGGTCATATCTCTGCAACAGAATGGGTGGATAATAATAAGCATAGCGAAAATTAAAAATTAAATCTTTGTCTCAGGAGAGACCTTTATTCAAGGTGGATAGAGTATGGGTACATCCTTTTTATCATATCTAATATGTTTAAAATCTAAAGTAAACGATATCTTAGGTATTTACTAGAGATTGTTCTATCTGACGTATCCGTATCCTTATACGTATCCGTATCCGTGTCGAGATATGAAAGGCATCTCGATCCCGATGTCTCAACCATCTAATACAATTTCCGTCTCTGTTTGTGGTTAAATAAGCCACAGTCATGCATTGGAAAATAGCAAATGACAATTTTTCTATTAAAAATACTAAACTGATGTAAATTAACCTCTATCATTTCGTAGAAAAATATTTATTAAAAAAAAAAAGAAAATGAATTCAATTATAAAATATTTTATTTTAATTATTTTGTTTTAAAATTATAATCATTTTGTTTCAAAATTTTTGTAGGAAATATATTCTGTATTTTTCATATACCTTTACACGGTATAACAGATACCCCCCCTCCACACACACACACACACATACACACACACACACACACACACACACTGAAATACAAAATACGTTATCATCAACGCGATTAATAAAACACTGTAGCCGTTTTTAAAGAGACTTAAAATTTTCAAACTGATTTCGTAATTCGCCTCAGGACCGTTACAAGTGTTGAGTATATGCATTGAAGAGCCTGTTCAACTCCCTCCTTTCCCCTCCCCTAACATTGGCGTCAGAAGCAAATTGAAAGTAGGGAAGGGGGGGGGGGCTAATTGAAAGAGAAAAAAATATAAGCCCTTAAAAACCCTGACATGCAAAAAAAAAGTACTTAAACACTATTTTGTGTGGGGGGGGGGCATACTTTTTCTTTGCCATTTTTTTAACACTACCACTTACTCTTCTTTGACTTCAATACAACATGCCTGTTGAAAGTGGAAAGGGAGCTTATCCTACGCCCGCAGCCCCCCCCCCCCCCCAGTTCCGGCGTCTGTGCCTCACCA